TTTTCATGATATTCTGAAACATGAATGAGATATTGTTAGGTTATAAATTCTATAGCACCATTTTGTTAATTATATATAAAGTGTGAATGATATCTTTGATACTGATGTTTTCTTTCGTTTTTCCAGCTGAAGTAGGCACTACAAAAATAGTCTAATTCATGTGATTAGTATATTACTTTATGCTCTGGTTTCTCCATATGTGTCAGTGTCCCACCACTTCTTACACTGACTAACAATGACTAACAATTTTTACACTAACATTGCATTTGTTGATTCATTGCTTCAATATCTTAACATCCATGCTTTGTTTTTTTAAGACTCTGAAGGAAATGTGCTGACTGATGTATATAATAAAGAGGGTAGCATTCAGTACAGATATTATTATAGCGATACTAAACCTAGTAAGTACATTATAATTTATCTATTCACTACTTGCAGATCAACATGGCCATCTCATAAAAAATATCATGTATAAAAAGAGTGGGGCTTACAAGTACTACTATCCTGATCCTAAATCAAGTAATCAAAAAAAAAAATTGGAGTTCATTTGTTATTGAAATTAATTTGGGAGCTTACCTTCAGTTGTTTATTTAATTGTTTTTAAAGTATGTTTTACATCTACAAATTTAAATTTTAACTTCAGTTTTTAAATTCTGTTTGAACTATTTTGTTTATTGATTGCAAATGTTTTTGGAAGCATTCTTTTAAAACTCAAGCTTTCATTTCATATCACTTAGTCTTACCTATAAAAAATAAAGTTTTAATAATTGTTAATCATCTTTTTTTTTTAGTTTTACTTAATTGTAGTTTTTAAAAAATATAAAGCATAGTGATTAGTATAATGTAACATAAATTCATATACTTTTAAATGTGTCATAGCCTTTTCAAGAAAGGTAGTTATAAATATTTATCAATATAATTATACATTTTAATGAAAACAAGATCATTTGAATAGATTTAATAGATTTTGTTTTTATTATTGATTAAAACAAATAGGATTTTCATTATAATAATTTAGGTCAATACATTTTAGGTCTTCTAACAATTAAAAAAAAAAAGAATCCTTTTTTTCCTTCTAATCATCATAAACTTAAGTTGTTTTTTTTTATATAAAGTTTCTTGTTTATCTCCCAAAACATTTCAAAACTTTTGTTTAATGTAACTCTTAATGTTAAAATTGAACCTTGTTTTTTTTTAACAATTGTTTAAAAATTCTATTGATAATTACTGAAAGTTTCATTTCCTGAAATCAATATGACAATCTTTTTTTTTGTTGTTGTTTGTTCTACATGTCTTACTTGTAGACTGCTGTGACACTGGCCTATAACACATAGAAAGCTTCAATTAATGCATTCCAATATCTTTGCTAAAAAGATGTCATCATTCATATAACTTCTTTTATCTTTTATCCTTTTTGTTTTCTGATCCTTGTGGGCAATTACTGATTAGAATTTTGATGTATAACAAAACTTCTTGTAACATGACCTAAATAATGAAATTCCAAGCATTAAAAATCATATTCATTTTTTTTAATCTTTAGTTGTTGACAGCATGAATGAAGTCTTGAGAGCTGCTGGCCAGAAGGTAGTTAAAGGCAAAGAGTTGTAACTGACCCTGGAATGTCTTACTGACACTAGAATGTGAACACAAATGTATAACAAACTTTTGGTCCTTTTTTGTCCAATATTTAGTAGATGTTGTCTCAGTTGACAACCAAATCATCTATCATAACATGTGTTGTAATCATTACATCTTTTTCATGTATTGATATGCATCTTTTTATAACTTATAAATAATTGTTCTTGTTTACATTAGGTATGATGAGCATAGAATAAAATAAAAAGATCTTATATTAAGAACGCTATCTTGTTTTAAATTATTTTTTTTTGTGTTGAGCTATTAGACAATGATTTCGACTTAAAACAAAGTAGATGTTTCAATGCTATAAAGTTTGATACATTTATTAATAGCTATATCAGCTAAATTTAATCATGACATAACAGGTCACTTTTGTTTGCATAAGAAGGTACTTAGCATAACTTGAAAATGTTTAGAATTTTTTGAAATATTGTTTACATTGTCTCAAGGATGTGGCACACACACAGTTCTATGTAACTCCCAAAAAAGTTTATTCTTAGAAATCACAAATTGCCCATTAGTTATCTACTTCTTGTAGTTGATGTTTAATAAGAATCATAATTAAATAAAAAGTTCTAAAATCTCTCACGTGTTCAGGGGAACTAAATCAATTGTAAAATGAAAAGTCGAGTTTGAGAGCTCTGAACTATTTCAAAGTAGTCGTTTTTAGAACTTAATAGGATCATTTCAAAAGATTGTCTGTTCGAAAAATATAGTTTGAAGGAGCTAAAAAAAAAGTGACGTGTAAATATAGTTAACTATTAGAAATGAAATAATCAACTTCCCTTCACCTTACACACACTATTTCTAACAATGGCCTTTGACAAAAACATCTGGAGTAGGCCTATTTACAGATCGGCGCACACACACAAAAAGGAACTTGCGCAGACGACGGTCGTTAGATGTGACAAAATATGTAGGTCACGGACCTGAACAAGAAATACTACACTCGAGATCTTCATTTCTATTCGCTTTATTAAATCTGTTGAAGATGAACTAGACATGAAGTTACTTACCATGTTAAGTTTTAGTCTCTCACTACGTGGACAAGACGTAACTACAAATAAGGATGTTCAGATGGACAATTTAAAACCAAGCAGGCGTAACAGAGTGGTCCCCACAAACCCTTTCAAGCCCAGCTTAGGTTTCAGCTGGCCCTTACTTGTAGAGGATAACATCATGGCTTCCGAAAAGTTCGGCGAAATCTTACAATGATCTCGGGATATGCTGTTAATCAAAGAAAAGCTACCACCAATGAGGACTTACCAGGCGACAGTTTAGTTCGCGTTAAATAGCCTATCACACATATGTAGACAATAGTTGGTTTCTTAATCTTCGGACTCAAGACCTAGCCTCAATGACTCGCTACAAAATGGGAAATCCCAACAGAAATACATGTACGTAATTACAGCCTTATTTGAGTTGAGCAATAAAACTTTCTGATGACAATACTCGAATGGTAAAAAGTGTGTTATTTCTCTTTTGAATACTAGAAAAACATCATTCTGGAGATAGTAATGGAGATGCAACATGTTACCTCTCTGGTTTCTGGAGATAGTATTGGAGATGCAACATGTTACCTCTCTGGTTTCTTGAGATAGTATTGGAGATGCAACATGTTACCTCTCTGGTTTCTTGAGATAGTATTGGACATGCAACATGTTACCTCTCTGGTTTCTTGAGATAGTATTGGACATGCAACATGTTACCTCTCTGGTTTCTTGAGATAGTATTGGACATGCAACATGTTACCTCTCTGGTTTCTTGAGATAGTATGGAGATGCAACATGTTACCTCTCTGGTCAACAAGGGGGTTTCGGGGAGCCTTGTAAGCGTTTTCCAAAATTCTTTCTTCAGAGATTCATTCTTCTGGCGTCTACAACGCACTTTTAGTCGTAGTTAGAAGATCGAATGTCTAAAAGCTTTAAGTAAAAGGGGCTGAAATGGGTCAATAAGCATGTCAAATAAAGCGTAATAAGGAAGGAGGCAGGACTGGTCGATTGATGCGAGGAACATTCACGGTAGGCTACAAATAGCGCATGTAGGTTACCTTTAAAATGTCTGTGTTAAGTAAGACGTTCTTTTCGCCGACTTGTTTTTCTCGAATAGTCGTCAACACTGCGCCCTAAAAATTCCAAAATTAAAAACCCAGTCTTCACCGAGATTCGAATCCAGGAACCCCAGGTTGGGAAGCCGAGCGGTTAACCAATCAACCACATAATAAAAATATTTTTGTTCTTAAAAAATAAAGAGACCGGCTTCGACCGCTCACATTGTTAGGACTGCGCGCTAATTGAAAGGAATTCGCGCCCCTCTAGGGTAGGCTCGATCCACAGTTTGAGAAATGCTGTACTAACTCCTTTACAAATCTTTTCTTCTGTAGCTTATCATTTGGCTAAGAATAATAAAAAAAAATATTTCTGAACCATATTTAAGTATATATACCAACAGCTCACTCGGACAATCAAGTAAGCGAGAACCCTAAGCTATGGCCTGTGTAACTAGTTCAAAAATCCTGCACTGCGAATAACAGCTTTGACAGTATAAGAGCCAATAATTCAAAACGTCTAATGCAGCTTAAAGTGACAAGCTACATTGATAGCAGTACTGTACTTTGCCCCAATGGCGTAGCCAGAGTATTGGATGCCCGGTGCGGCAGGCCCTCATGATGCCCCCCCCCCTAAAAAAAAAGAAGGAAACAGTGCAGATAAATCTTAGTGCTTTCTTAGGAAAATAGTAAAACGTTCTTTTTTTTCTCCAAAACAAATGTGTATTCAATGTTCAAGTATTGCTAATTCGGAAAAAAAATCAATTTTACAAAAAGATACTACAAATAAATCTTAGTGCTTTCTTACTAGCAATTTAGCAATAATTTTATCAAAATCTTTTTTTTTCTACCAGCATTTGCTCAATAGACAAAATTACTTAATGAGTGTATCGTTATTCTAGATCAACTAAAGCTTAGAACTATTTGCATGTAGCCACACTTACCACAATCGATGGTGATATTCGAAACTGATTCATCTAGCGCATATGTTTTTATAAAACTCAAGAGCTCAACGGATCATTGTTTCGTAAGTTGGAGGCTTCTGAAGAAACTGCGACAACCGTTGAAGTCTCTTTCTATCCATTGGAAATTTGTTTTTGTCAATATTGTTAGGAACACCATCAAGATTTTTTTTTTATCATGTTTTCGTAATCGTCCAAAATCACAATAAACTAGCTTTGTTTTTTGGGGGGAACAATTATACATTGGGTGTGAAACTAAGCTTGGTTCGAAGCTATGTCAGGAATGGTTCTTACTTGGATAATAGTACCACTAAATCCAAGAAATTTCTTTGATTTTTGACCTTCTAATACTTCTTTAAATTGTTTGCGATGTCCACGGAGTGCCAGATTTTGCTCTGAGAGAAAACGAATGATGTCCAAGAAACTCTTTGGATAATCTCTTTACTCGTCCCCTATTTTTTAATTAAATCTTACGCCTTGCTGTCAATACTATTCCCTACAAATTACTAATTCCCTCCCAGCAAGTGATGACTGAATGTTCATATTTAACCTCCATCACTCATTAAATCTATTGTTGGATTTCAATGTAGATGTAGTACTTGATCTTGTTGAGAAGAGTAAGCATGGGAAACAAAAAAAGTGTACTGAAAAATTTAGTACGAAATGTACCAACACAACTTTGTTCCTCTTATAAATACAGAGCATTGAACACTAAATTAATACTGTACCATGTATCTCTGAAGAAAGTGTAAAAGTGCGTTGCTTTCAGAGCTTTAAACAAATGTAATAAATTTTATTCAAGATAATCTACAGCTTACATTTAATGTAATAAGGCATATAGGAGAAAAACAAAGCTGTGAAATAAATGCATGTGTTTTTGTTTCTTCGTGTGTTATACAAATGTGTATTTTTACTGACAAAGTTTGTCCTTTGCTTGATGCCCCTCATTACTTGATGTCCTGTGTGGCCGCCCCACCCGCACATGGCTAGCTACGCCACTGCTTTGCTCTCTCTAAAGCAGAAATTAATTATATAATAGCGAATAAAAAATCACGTGTCAACTTTCTTCAACATCGAGACGGGAGTAATACAAAAGTGTATCCCATGATTCTCATTCCCTTTCCTGTTAGCCATAGACTTGGTCATGAAAAAAAGCCATGAATCACATTGGCTTCGGTGAACGTACAGACAGACCTGAACTTTGCAGACCACATAGCACTACTCGGGGCTACAATTTAATGTATACAAGAAATGACGGATGTGTGCCAACACAGAGACGTGCTTAAAAATCGGCCTCCGGAATAAATATCTATAAAACCAAAGTTTTACGTATGGTCTACAGATCAACAGGTGGCACTGTCAACATAAACCATCCAGAGCTTGAACATAGTGAGACGTTCATTAATTATTAAACAGTGTTATCACAGGCGATGGAGATGCATATCACGATGTTGCGTGCCGGATATGGAAAGATGTGGGCAACCAAGTCAATTAGCCTGGAGACCAAGATCCAACTGCCACCTATGCTTACGAAACTTGGAAGACATCCTTAAAGGTCGAAAAGAGACTAAAACGTGGCTCAACAGTGACGCCTGAGAAGGATCATAGAAATGAAAATAAAAAAAAACGAGAACATGTCACCAATAGAGAAATCTAGTTCTGCACTAAGCAAAGTGGTGAATGAACGTCCTATGAGATTCACGGTTCAGCAAAGTCGAAAAATATTTACAAAATAGAGCGCATCCTCTCTTAGTTTAAAAGACAAGAAAAACATATTTAAAAATACTCCTTTTAAAAAGACAAAACCTCCTTTACACAACTTAAAGAGCGATTGTTTTGCTCTTGATAACCAATGAATGTTACATTTATTATTTAATTTTTTTTACCCCCACCCCTATTCCCTCCCCCTCCCACTCGAGAAAAAAAAATGTTAAGCTAGACATTATAATATTCTAGTGATAGTCGTTTAGATCTAGACGATGCACAAAATGTTCCTGAAAATTAATTCATTAAACTCTTGAATAAACATGCGGACCCGAGGATGCCTAGTCTTTCAAGATATTTTCTCGTTCTCTAGCCAAATTTAAATTTATTTCTTTTGTTCCTTTGAAAAAATATAACGGTCAAACTAGAGATTTCCCAGTGTGGCCAACGAGCCAATTATTCTTTTCCCAACGATATACAGCAAATGTTAATTTTTTAAGGGAAATCGTTAGAGCCGTTTTCGAGATTCGTGCTCCGGTTCTATCTAGAAGGTTCCACCCTGAAGGTTTTCGTTTCCATAAAGTTACGCATTGAATAGAGGTATTGTAAAAAGTGAATATGGCGGAAAGTGGTCCTCCACCCTTGCTTCTACAACGGAACTGTGTAACACTATAACTATAACGCAACACTTATATTTTTCTCAACATGTGAAGCGCCCCCCCCTTCCTAATAATGCTGGCAAGAGGAGCGCATGATAAAGCTTCTCATATCGATACTGGTGAAATTAGTTAGCGTTGTAAAATTAAATTTTACTAAGATCAACATTTAGGCCTACATATAATGCACATTTTGCTAGCAAACCTTTTTTTTCAAATGCGTAGAGGGGTCAGGGCAGCCTTAGACATAGGCAAACTAGGGCCTCCAATGGAGGGGGGCGCTCGCACAGGACTCAAAACATTTTTTTGAGAGAAGAAATAGCGCGACTTGTGCCCAATCTAATTGCTGGAGTCACTAGGTTTGAAATAAATTGCGTAATTTATTTTTTTGCTGATTATTTTTCAATTTTTTTTTTTCCATTTGGGGCCACCAAATTCACATCGCTTAGTGTCTCCAATCATTTAAGGCAGGCCTTGGAGGGGTCTCAAGTTAAAGGTTGAAAAGGGGAATGACGCCTGTATGCTCATCCCTAAATTTTGAATTGACTTCTCTTATAGTACGTCAGGGCGAAGTGGGCGACTGCTGTCAATCAAACCAAGAACGGAGCGGTACAAAAACTCGTTCGTACCTCACTCGGTCAGACGATATCACCGCCACTCATTGATCAGGGAACATGAAATGCACCAAGATACCTGTGTGTAGTCGCTGAATGAACTCTTTATGTTGTCTGTTGTATTTATGTGTATGTTTCTGTTGTGTTGTCTTTATATGAGAAAAGAGCCCTTGTTATCACAACAAATGTCCGTAAGGATCAATAAAGCAGTCTTAGTCTTAGTAAGTTACTGGTATGAAAGTACTTAGAACCAAAGTGCTTTAGAAATGTTTCATGGCAATGGAAGGAGACAAGCAGCTAAATCTGATATCAAGAGACCGGAGGATTCCAGCTACCTGTCGCCTCAGCGTGGCGCCTCCGGTGGAAACGTCAAGTAGTGGAAATAGATAGGCTAAGTACGAGTAGCGAACCAGGCCCTTGCGGGACCCCCTGGGTGAGCTTTTTTTTTTTTTTATCTCACTCGGGGTAGGGATGGAACAAGTAGCCCGCACACCAGTCCAAAAAGTCCGCCACGCCGTTCCACTGTGTACGCGGCACGGCCCGGTTTTAGCCCATTCAACCAATATGGCTGTCTACCGCTGGGTTCCTCAGACAGGACTCGGGATGAGTAATCCCTTTTCCAGGCTTGGTTGTTGGATAAAGCCTTTCTAACGACCAACGGGATAATGGCGCCCACGTAGGCGCCGATTCCCTACTGGACTTCACTGAAGATATCAAGAGAATAGTTGGGGGTAGCAATAGCTCCAAACCAAAACAACAAAAATTGTTTACATCAGGAATCCGATAAAATGATGTGGCAGACTTTCAATCGTCTTTTAATGCGCAGTATATTTCACTCCCATAGTGCCTCTTTTTATCGCTAATTGCCTTTCATTTCGATACTCTCTAAACGAATCGGATTCAAATTGTGCACACATTTTTCTGACGCGATATTTGGGGTGCAAACGTGTTGCTAGCCAACCAAATTACGTCAGTCAGTAGAGACCAGATTACAACAAAGCAATGCAGCTCCATTAGACCTTTAAAGAACAAACTATTTTAAGTTAGAATTCAACCCAAGAAGAAATTCTAACGCAATATTCACCACAGCAGACATGGCGCCAATATTCTCACTTGCCGCTTCTGCTTTTTTTGGGAGCCTGTCTGCCGCTGTGGAGCAGGCGAAAAGTAAGTAGACTTATAATTTAACACAATGACACCATGTCGATGTCACTTGTTTATTTAAAAAAAATCTGAAGCAGTAGAAGAAGCTTTCCTGGCAAATTTGTAGGCCCTATTCAAAGTATTGCCATGCTAAAAATTGGACTAGTCAGTCACTAATCTAGAATCTAGACTAAAAAAAGATCTAGATCTACATACTAACATAGCCATCATATGATCATTCATCATTGATATAGAATCTAATCTAGGTCTATAAGACTTATTTAAGAAGAGTAGATCTAATGAATTATTATTAAATTCTAGATCTATTAAATTCTCGATAATGTATACTATCTACTAACTAGATCTAATTACACCTACTTATCCCATCCAAAGGGCTCTCCATGACATAAATGTTGATAAAGCCTATATTTAGTATAAGACATATAGGCTGAGACTAAGTAAAGAACTCTATCACTATGTCAATCACTGTTTCAAACATAGAAGAATGGGTGAAGACTTTGATTTTTAATTTCGGGACTTTGGGCGCCTCTGAAAAGTACAGGAGGTTGGTCGTTGTGCTGACCACGACTCCCTCGTTAACCATGGGCCACAAAAACAGATGCCCTAAAGATTGCAAGGTCTGAAAGAGGAACTTTTTAGTTCTTTCGTTTCCCTTTTGATTAGCCAAGCTCTCTTCGTGGACTTAATTATTATTAGATCTACATCTAAAAACCTGTTGAGGTTGATAAACATTGCCTTTGTCTTACCGCCATATTTAACCATTTCAGCATAGAAAGAATTCTTTGTTGTTTTATTTTTCAGCATGGGGAAGAATCAAGTGGGTGTCACTGAAAGAGGGACAGAAAATAGTTAAAGAACAGTAAGTTTTGTTGCTGTTTTTGTTTCTTTTAACATCGATATGGGCATTCCGTTTAGATGTAAACTCTTGTTCTATATCTAGGCCTCTGTTTTCTAAACATATGTTTTCTTCTAAATCTACGGTTATGTTCTGAAATCGTAAGCCCTAAGCCCTTTGTTTATATTCAACAGAGGTAAACCAGCAATGATCGTGTTCCACAAACCTTGGTGCCGCGCCTGCAAAGGTACGTTCTTCTAGCTTAAACATAACTAAAAGTTTATGTGTTATCACGAGTTAGAGATCTAGGTCAGTAAAAGGTGTTCCATCTCTATTGTTCCAGCTTTGAGGCCCAGATTTGCCAACAGCCGAGAGATTGAACAGATGAGCAATGACTTTGTAATGATCAGTGTTGAGGTGAGTCATTTAGTAGATAGTTTCCGTTAGGGACTATGACCATCTGCTAGTCTGCTGGTATTTAAAACGTCTACTCAATAATGTTAACTTGTTTTCTCTGTGTGTTACAGGAGGAAGACTTGCCTAAAAACTCAGAGCTAAGTCCTGATGGCGCGTACATCCCCAGGATCATATTTCTTGGTAAGTATTTTTTTCTTTTTCTGATTAATTTAAATTAACATAGATTCAAGATTGTCACATTT